ATAATTTCTTCACAAATTGACGGTGTTTTTTTCGAGGGAAATTTACATTCAAAAATACCGTACAACTGATTTATGATTTTAAGCATGGGAAAGCGGTTTTTCCGACACTCCGAATTATAGTTGCTTTATGAAAAAGACGGAATAGTTTTTTATTACCGCCTAATCGAGCCGCCGTCTCTATTCTCAAGGCCATGTCGCTCCAATAGTGATTTCTATCCCGCTGTACTGCTGTCGTTACAATTCTTCGGAGAATCCGGTAGTCAAGCTTCTAACATTCGTGTTTTAGCAGCGTTTTCAGACAGTTGAGCAGCTTCTGTTCCCAACTAACACACTTTCTATTAGTATGCCCTAGTGTTGAAGCGCCTGACTTTCGGAGACATTCTTTCATTTTGGACCAGTATTGCTTTGCCGTTTCATTGATGTTTGTACCATTGAGGTACTTCAATAATTCGATTTGAAATGCGCTCACTGTCTCCGAATTTTTTAGTTTGAGATAGCCGAGGGATCTTGGGGGATGCAAAATGGGATGTTTTTTTGGAGATGGGATGTTTTTTGCGAGCTATCAATTATGCTCAGATCCATGAACATTGCCCGTTTTAGCAAAAAGAAACGACTATCTAGCACGAAACTCTTCCAACAGTAAGATATAATCAATCTGGTTGAAGTGATGGTTATCCGAGGAGTCCCACTAGATGTTTTTACGATGCCGGAAGCAAGTATTAGTAGCAAAAAGTTCATGCTCTTTGGCATAGCGAAGAGGGCCCTGCTGGCATACCGGTCTTCGATGCCATATTTGCGAATTGTCGAGGTCATCGTAATGACATTATGACCTATGGTAAAGACTTTGTTAGCAGTTGAAGTTCTGCATAGAACTTATCTTTATCATGGTCATCTGCTGACAAAGTTAAGGGGCATAAACAGCGATATTGCAGAACTTATCTTTAAAGCAAGTATAGGCCATACGGTCGCTTATGAGTTTCCACTCAATCAAAGCGGAATGAACCTTTTCAGGCATAACAATCGCTATGCCATTTTTGCTCCGAACCAAAATAAGTAATTAATCGAGACCCGAAATGAGGAGGACGGAATTCCGACAAGCAAGCTATATCCACACGATATTTAGAAAGAATGTGGCTAGTGATCGCTTGGCTTATGCCAATAAGAGTTCTGATACTCTACGCTGATACGACTAATACCATGCCGCTAGTGCAGAGATCCGTTCCCTTTGATAGGTTTTTGATAGGTTTCGAGCAATTTTTTTGGCTTGCGAGCATATTTGATTTTTGGGATCATGCTGTTTATTTATCGTATGCTCATTATTCTTAGCAATTTCTTAACATAAAAATAATCGATTTAAAATTGAATAAAGAATAATTTTAATTGGAAGAATGGCTTAAAGGGTTATTGCTCTCATTTAGAAGTCATAGGCCATACGGTCGCGTATGATGCTCGCATTCTATTTTCAGCAGAAATACTCCTGTTCCAAAGGTCCGAGTGATACTGGCGATTCGATTCTTGTGATATCGCCAAGTGATACTCTGTCCGACAAGCCAGTGAAGCAAGTGTAGCCAAAAAAGGCGTTCTTAAAAAAAAATTTTAACCGACTGCACACAAGTATTCAACTTCAGCTATTATTTTAGGCTATTAAACATGGTAATGGCAGTGAAACGGCACCAATCGTTCAAAATAATGCGCAAAAACAAGCAGCTATGAAGCTTATAGATGACCATGCACAAAGTGTGCGAAACGTGATTGACTGGATTCTTGTTGCTGGTGAAAAATGGCTTTTAACATTACATGAAATTGGAGAATCATATGATGATGCAAAGCAATTAGTCAAGAATCATGCTGAATTAGAAATCAAGTCAAAGGTACTTGATCAATTATAATATTCAACCAATAAAAATAAAAAAATGGCCATATGGTCAAATTTCCATTAAATGGCCTAAACTGGACTGTTGAGTATGAAAAATGCGATATATAAAATGAAACGCGAAATGTAAAGGAGCTAAGTTTCTTACTTATTAGGTTTATGTACAGCTAAGTATATGGAATGAAAAGTGGAGATAAGATCGCCGAAATTTCGACTGAGCTCGATCATTATAGGAATGCGCCCATTCCTTAACGGGAGTAAGCCTGTCATTAATTCGGTACTTTATATACTTAGTACTTCTTCTTCTGTCATTAAAGGTGAAATTTGAATGGTGCTCGATATATAACTCATATATATTTTTATTTTCAAGTTACTCTCTAGTGGGTGAATCTTAGTGAAAAAATCAAATCAAAAATGGTGAAAAGATGGTATCAGAAATACCAATAAAGTATCTATTGAAGTATCTATCTACTGAAAAATAAATTTTCTCAAATTTCATAAGTTTTGTTATTTGAAGTGGATTTTCTTGCAACTTCAACAGACCATCATCAAGAATTCATACAACTTCATTTGTCTCACTTGATCAATCAGTATTATCTTCTATTATCAGACACTTTATATTAAGATTCTCAGGATCTAGAGGACCAAGTTAATGATTTGTCCAGCGTTGCCTGTCGTCTAATAAGTGAGTTTCCGATGCACATGGTCACAATCGAAAAAAACCGTGATCATCTCAGTAATATTTTGCAAGCTTTCTGTGCTAGAGTACAAAGACAAAGCAAAATTGCACAGAATTCAGTGGTTTTTCATCAGATGTTGAATGAGGTGAGACTCCTTTTTGATTTGGTTTTTTTAAGAACTGGAAATCTTTTTAATTTCTTTAGTCAAAATTTTCTGAATCAATTCTGGAAAAAATTCAGTGGATCATTTCAAAAGTTTATGCCAGCATCTCATCATTCTTTAAATTTAATTCAGTTTTCGCATACAACCGATTCATTACTGGAGTCATTATGTACGGAAGTTAAAGCATTTGACATCGCAAGCGCTGAAGAAGAGAAAGGTGAAATGGAAAAAAGAGTCGAAAATATGGGTATGAGTGCTTTGAATAATATTTTTTTTCGAAAAATACTTCAAAAATTATAGAAAAAGCCTACCGCACACTTTTCGAAAATGGAGTCAGCTTCATTGATGAACTCTGTATCGATGAATCGAATTCCATCGGACGACCGGTGACTCGCGATTATTCAACAGGCATTGTTCATATCAGGTGAGAAAGAGGTAACTTTTCCAGATTTTATTAAGAAGAAAGGTAAATAGAAGGTTTCAAGACAATGCCTTGATGAAACAAGTGCCAGACGAAAAAGATGCCAAGATTTGACTGATGTTCGACGATTGAAAATCCAACAACTCTTACAATTATATACGTGTGAAAGTGATAGTGATCAAACTATAAAATGGATTGATGAACTGCAAGAAACACTGGTGAAGAATTATGATCGAGTTGGATGCAATGATGATGAACTGGATATGCTTAAGAAGGATGCAGTGAAACTGGAAGAAACCGCAAGAGTATGTTAGCAAATTGTTTTTTGCGAGTCTTACCTTATTTAAAATCTCCGAAAAGTCTTAATCGTCAAGAAGAAAATTATTTCTTCATTCTAAGTACCAAGTATTTAGTGCTTTTCAAAAAGAAAATAATTCGAATGAATGAATTATGAATGAATCAAGATTAGTTTGTCATTTGTCATTTACCTGCTATAGGTCTCACAAGTTATACTTGTAGAGTACATATGAATATGGCAAGAAGCTATGTCAAGCAGCTCTCGTACTTAGAAGATCGCTTCGATTGGAAGTGCAGCCTCAGTTAGCCTTAAATCAAAAATTGGAAACGTCATGGGGGCGATTTTGTCATGCTCTTAGCGATTATGAAGCTAAAATTAACATAACAGCTGCATTCAATTTGGCTATTAAAGAAGTACATCAATCAATTCTTTAGCTAGAGCTGGACTAATGTAGTAAGCAAGTTCACTCTTTTAGTAGCACTCATCATTTCACTAATGGAGCTGAGAACCTTTTGCCAGAGAACCACATAAGATCAGAAGTGCAACTGGGACTACGACATCTGCACATGACAGATTCATCAAATGACATTAATCGTGCTTAAAGTCTCTGATATTAAGCGGAGCAACACACTCGATCTTTCTGCTTCTTTTTACAGCACTATATAAAAATTTAGATCGATTGCTTTTGCTCGAGTATTTTGATTTTTTAAGAATCAGTGGATTACTTATTTATATTAATATAAAAACATTTTCATTTAACAGGTCATCGACAAGTTGGATGAGCTCTGCTTTAAGGTTGGTGACTACATAACAGAAAAACGATTAAATGGTAAAGATACAAAGTTATCTCTGGAATCATTAAATATCGAGAGAAAATGCTTGGCAAATGATGTAATGGAATTGAAACATATTTCTGACATTCTTATCGAACAGGTCAAAGAAAAAGATAACAGGTAAAATTCCCCACTTTGTTTAAATTTCTTCCTTCTCCTAATAGCACCTACTGTATCTGATTTGTCTGAGTGCACTGATTAGAGAGTCCCACACTGAAACTTAGAAATAAAAACTATAGATGGGTCTTTAACACCACTCGCAATTCAATTTTAAATGACTCCCAGAGGACAAAAATCGAATCTATGATGGCTTGAGAGAGATGATGTGACATTGTGTTGGGCCATTCTGTCCCTTTCAATTTTATAAATCTTTAATGAACATTTATCGTACCTATAAAAACTGGGACCTGAATATTTATTTACATGTAACAGCACTGCTTTAATAAATGATTCTAGTAGCTCAGTTTCAATTTCGCTACAACAGACCAAAGTAAAAGCAGTTGCTGAAATTCGTCGTAAATTTGAGCATGTTGAACAAAAACGTCGAAAACTGGAAAATCTTTGGTTAAATAGTATTTGTACAACGAATTCTTCAAATGATTTGCAACTTACATCTGACGAAAATAAAGTATCACCAAAAAAAAAAACTGTGGCTCCAATGGCTAACGATCCATCATTTTCATCAGATAGCAGTTCACCACTAATTTCAACAAATTCTGTAAAAATTAGTGAATAAAAATATCACAATGAATGTCTCAAATCAAAATTTAGTAATACCTTTCTTTTGCAACGAAATTTCGTATCGTATTTTGCTTTCTCTTTTCTCAAAATAACAGGCAAATTGATATAGTTTAAACTCCTTTTGATTCTAATGGCACTATTCCTGGTTTGGCTGGCTACGCTAGCTACTAATCTAGAAATATTCCCCAGAGAGTCACTTGGGGATAGAAACACGGGTGGACTACCTACGTTGTTAGAATAAATCAATTTGGTAATTTAAAAAGTATTAATTTAATGTATCGAGTATGTATATGGAAATTTCTGTTTCCTTATTCATGTTCATTTATCCAATAAAATATTTTCATAATCTTTGCCATCATAATTCTAAAATTTTTTGAAGCTAACATTCTAACATTCTTTAAGACGTAAAATATTATTATCTATATTATTTTCCCGTTCTATCAATCTGATTTTCATATTTTATTTTGATACGGCAGTCCAAACTTTTCTTCAAATTACCATTTAATCGCTAATATCGATAATATTCGACAGCAAATTCATTAAATCTAAGCCTATTCTTATGATTTATATGTAAAAATTTCAAAATTCTGTCGATGTCCCACTGAAGATATTTAATATAAGAACAATATTCTTCATTTGCCACTTTTGATGGATTTAAATTTGCATCGTTTAATAATTTTTCAAATTCTCTTAAATATGCTAAAAATGCTGTGGCAATTTTGATATGGTGCACCATTTTATAGTGAGAATATTCAGTGAAAAATACTACCTAAATAATGAGAGGTTCAAAAAAAAGTGATATGCTTTAGGAACAGATTAAGAATAATGCATTTTTTTGCCATAAAATCCTATCTTTCAATTTGAATTTATTAAAATTGGCAAAATAGTAAAAAATAAAGCTCTAATAGTATTTGACATCTCATGTCATAAAATAAACCAAAAATTCACCAAAAAAAACCATGTTACCATGTTAATAACTCAAATTATCACATATATTCATTGCTGAACTTGGCATATTAATATTTCTCATAACTGCTTAGTCTCGTTGGATTAAGCAGCAAGCAATTTGCAATTTTTAGATTTGTTGCTTCCGACTTTTTGATTAAATTTTATGATAATGAATTTTTAAATTCATTTAAATTCATAAGAAATAAATATTTACTGTTTTTGAAAATTTTTCTTTTTCAAATTTCGTAAATTTAGAAAATTCTTCACAAAATTTTTCCATCTGATTTCGTTAATTTTTATATATTTGTTAAATATTTTCATATGAAAGCTTGTCGAAAATCTGCTAAATTTGGATTGGCCTTTGGGATTGGCTTTAGGAAATTGGATCTAGAAATGCAAATTCCATTAAAGCATTTAAAAATTAAAAAATTTTTTCCTTCCAGCAGGCTATAACGGATCTCCTGTAGTATTTTGCCATCATAAATCTAATATAAGCCAATCAAAACGGACATATTAATATCTCGTGGCGTTAACTCCTTTTTATATCAGCTCACTGGTTCTAGGTTGACAAATTCTGCTGCCTATCATGGCAAGGCTCTATCGCCAGAGATCCACTAGCATAATATATGAGAAATGCACTTCCATTCCACGAGCAGGAATCAAACCCATATGTGAAGTCGAAGTGGCTATCATTCTACCACACTATCTTCATGGATAACATAAAAATTAACCTAAATAAACAAAAAAATTTTAAACGAAAAGCTAAAACAATTCTGACCACAGACAATATAGCCCCAAATGAAGGAATGCTGAATCATGCCGAATTAAAAAATATTCTTTATTTCATGCGAAAGACTATTTATGGGACCACAAAAACGGAAATGGATTCTAACGAGCAGATTACTCATCAAATCAAGTATCGATCAAGGATCAATGAAAAGGAGGTTGGTAAGGTAATTTTTTACAAGTCAGATTGCGTCGGTAGTTTAGTGGCAGTATTATTACAATCTGTTGAGAACGAGTTGTTGATTGGTTTGGGTTCGAGCCTGGCTGGTGTTGATTGGGGAATGTCGAAGAAAAAGTACTTTCCATCTAAACTTAACCAGTGTTCAGTGGTCGAATATTCGGCCGTTATATGGGCCATATGGATTCTATTCCTGGTTGACACCATAATGTCACGAAAAAAACGGGAATATTCCGCAAAAAATTATCATAAATGCTCTATTGCAGCCATGCACCATGCTTTTTTTTTGTTCTTTATCAACTCTTAGATAAATCTACTTAGTAGCATGATAAACCATTAAACTTGAATAACTTGAATAATTCATTTATTTCAAGAAATTTGTTTTAAAAAATTATTAAGAAATTAGGCAATAAAACTTAATCTTAACGCGAGAATATTATTTCACTACAATAAAAAAATTCTGTGAATTAAAATAAAAAATTTTTGCGGAAAAAAAGCAAAAAAACTATTGATCTCGGCCCCATATACAAATACACCCAAAAGACCCCAAATACACCTTTAATAACAATTTTAGAAGGATATAATTCGTAAAACCAATTCGTAAGATTCCTTTGCGGTAAGCGACATCAGTTGAGCAAATAAATGAATTAATCCATGCTAAAAAACATGATCCATGTTTTTTCTTCTACGGGCACCAATTAGATCTCAAAAGGTCACAAATAATTCAATAATTAAAAATAACAACTTTTCGTGGCAATTCATTTTTTGCTGTGGCCTGAAAATATTTATTTTTTTCTCTATTATTGAGTTTGTTTTTCTTTTGCGGAGAAATGCCTTCTGAAAACCACTATTTTACCCATTTTAATAATTAACGGTAATTAAGAATTCCGGTTTAGAACTGAGGCAGTATAGATTTTATCACTTTTATTTATTAGGAAAAATTGGAAATTCAGTGTTGGAAAATTTTTTCACTTAAATAGTATAATTATCGATGCTAGGCTTTGATTTCTGTAGATTCAGCTCAACTTAACCAATGCTCATTCAAAGGTCATTGAAAAAGTATAATAAGATTGTATTTTTTGGCAAAAAAGGTTATTTATTTATTATTTTTCTCATATATCATAGTTATTGAAAATGACAACACCCTTAAAAAAAGCTTTAGTCTTAAGAAATCTATTTCTGAAGATGAAACCAAAAATTTGACGGGCAAACTTTTTTCCATAAAATGAAAACGTTCAAAAGAATTTTTCAATTATTCTTTTACTAACTCTACGGGCTAAAAGATTTTTATTTATGTTGTCATAAATTATAAATACCATAAATACCATATCAGAGTTTATAAGTTAGGTCAAATTCAATTTGATTTGCACCAAAATTTTTTTTTATTTGTATCGAAATTTCAATGATTGTAAAGAAAAATTTAATTTGTCTAGCTTCTCATAGCAAATTCGAACTTAAGCGTATAAAATAAATTCATGATTTGATGGCAAGGGCCGTATTAAATTTAAAAATGGCCAAAAATATGTTGTAATTTCGTTCCCAAAACATCCCTATCACATTTCAGACAATTTTTTTAAAATTTGATAGTCGATTGATTCATTTAAATAAGTGTTGACATTAAGGAAAATCGTAAATTTACTGCCAATAGTAAACATCATTAAGCTTGTCTTAACCATTTTTTCTCCAAATTTTTTATATGATATGAGAAACCAACTTATTCTAGCTGGGATTTTGCATTTCAGGGAAAATTGGGAAAGTTCCATGAGAAGCCAGGAGTTTGGCTATGAACTTATTTCCATAGGAAAAAACCATCACTATTAAAAATTGATTCTTGCATCTTCAATAATTGTATGTCAAATTCGACACTGAAAATCTAAAATATCATCCATCTAAAAAAAGTTTTCCAATCATTTCCAATATAAATTCTTTATTGCAAGTCATCAAATTAAAAAAAAGACAAATTTTCTCAAAAAATTAATTTCTTTTGACATCGTTGCATGAGGCACCAACTTTAAACATTTGTCGTCTTGCTGAAAAATGAAAAATTTTCAGTGCAATTCAAACAGTTCGTCAAATGAAATCTCTTTTTATCTTATTTTGTATGCATATTTATCTTGTAAGTTGAATGCTATAAAATATTTTATGAAATTTGCGAAAAGAAAAATAGTTAGAAGCTGAGCGATAGCAGCTTGAAAAGTTCATTTCTCCAATATTCTTCAAACGAAACAGGTTTTCCATTGAGCAGTTATCATTTTTTATTTAATCACTTGAATTTTGATTGAATGTCGATTACACCCATTCAAGATGTCACCGAAAACAAATTGAAATTTCCGTACATCATCATCATCCATTAACATGGTCGGAATCGAAATTAGTTGCTGGCCGTTGTCAAATTAAAATTCAATTAATCTCATTATTTCATATCTATATTAGTTATTGGTTTTAGTTCCAGCCTTTTTTCACTATTTTCAATTAAAATTCTTCATTATGAAAAAGTTTTCTGGCCTATATCCTCTTGTTTGAATTAAAAATTGCGGAAATCATTTTAATATCAAGGTCATAGAAGAACCTACGAAGTTCAGATACATTAGGCTCAATGTTTTATCAATATCCTTGATTTTGATACTATGTTAATTTTCCAGTAGAAAAAGAAGGATAAAAAAGTTTGGCCTTAGAGAGATTTAAGAAAACCTGCTCTAAGGTCCGGCATCTTATCTATTACCCATAGAGACCCATATATAGTATTGGTAACTAATATTATTAATATTATTAATATATTATTAATTAATATTGTTAATCCATTTAATTCATTCATGATAATACAAATATGATCATAGGAATGAATTAATTAAGATCCATCCCATCCTATAAGATAAATCGTACTAGAGATAAATTTTTAGAATTAAAAAACGAGTATTAATTGGAAATGCTATTAAAATTTAAAGAGTTTTATATTTATTACCACATAATGCTATTATTTGCTATAATTCTTATAATGCTTATTTTAGATTTGATAAATGTGGTTAAACTCTTCATGAAGGTTAATGCTTAACATACAAATTTTGAACAAGATTTCTAATTCATCAGCGACATGGACTTCGATTCTTTTTTAGCTGAGGTATTCAAGTATCCAACGTCAGGAATAAGCTGACAATATTTTTTGAAATCCTATAAATATTAACGAATGAATGAATATTTTGCACGTAAACTTTGAAAAAACTTTAAGTTATATAGTAATATTTAATTTTAAACATCAAAAAACAAAGAATATTAAATTAGAATAAAAATTAATTCAGAGTTTAGAAATAGTTTTAGTTTTACTTTTCGACATTACCAATATTTAATTTATTTCATTACCAGTATTACTAAGTCAAAAGTATATATTTTGTGGGAAGCTAGTTTATTTTTTAGGCAAACATGATAAATGCATTTAAACATTAAAAGAAAGGCGAATTAATAGAATTATTGATTACGAACTGAACAAGGGAACCAATATTCAATGATAGGTCGTTTTACGATTTCGACCACCTGAAACTTGAGTGAAAGTTTGAGTGAAAGAAGCCAAGAATTTAAAACTCCACTACATCTAATATAAATTCACAAAAAAGGCCTATGTTTATAAAATGCTTCAATTTACTAAGTAATATGAACTAGTGGTTAGCGTTTATCATTTTTATTTAAGCTCTCTCGGCTAGTAAAAAAATTAAAAAAAAATTCACATGGAAAAAATTCATTTGGGAATCATTTGGCGATAGAACGCCAGCTCCACCCGTACTTTTTGTTGACAGGCTTACACTTGTCGGAAGCAGGGATTTCGGATCATTATTAAATTTCGAGAACTTTATTGCGATTTATTATTGTTTATTATTATTTATTAATGTTAATTGTTAATTATTATAATGTAAATTTTTTATACAGGTGGGTGACTTTGGAATTTACCAGACAGTGCTTTTTTTCTTAATTTGCTTACCAGCAAGTTTGCCATCTGCTTTTTCGGCCTTCAATCAGCCATTTGTTGTTGGAGAACCCGTTCATAATTGCAAATTCCCTACGAATCGTGAGGATCTCAAACCAATAGCAGGTTTTGCATCGCAAGTAATAGTTGAAAATAAAAAAATTTTCCAAAATATTTTGGAGTTTATATTGACTTTATTGGTAATTTAAAGGATGACTTAAGCTGTTGGCAATATAACGAAACGGAAGTTGACCTTTTAAAAAACTTGAGCATTGAAGATTTCAAGGAAGCTAGAAAAGAACTGAAGTTGATACCATGTCAGTACGGATGGGATTATGATAACTCAACATATATCAATACGCTCGTCACAGAGGTAATTTTAATTCTATCAAAGGTAATTCTATCAAGAAAAATTTGGAAATAGTAGTTCGGAAAGAAAGCAAAAAATTACAAAATATAAAGCCACTTATTCTTGTTCATCATGACAATTTAACTGGTTGTTGCTGATATCCACCAGTCCTTCTATCTCTGTGGCTAAAGGATCTGATCCTAATAATAGCCAGTAAAGCCAGTCGAACCACAAATGGCTACTGCTGTCACTGCTGTCATAGTGGAGGAAAGAAAGGCATTTAATTGCATAAATCTGAAGTATCGAAACAGATTAAATAATATTAATCAATATTTAAATTTAAATTTTAAATTTTTTTAAAAATTGAAACAGTATCTAAATTCATTTAAAATTTAATTTATTTAAAAAGACGAGTATTGAAGACGAGTATTTCAAGGAAGTTAGAGGACAAGTTAAATTGCTAGCATATCAATACTGATCTGAATTTTTCCATAATCTATGCATATCTAAGGTATAGACATCAAAAAATAATCGCTCACCTTTTCTGGTTATTAGAAATTTTTGCCACTTGGCGATAGAAGCACAAGTGAGTCAGCATTATCCAAAAGATCCAAAAGCTATGAATTCTACCAGAATTTCTAAAAAGTTTACTCCTATTCAGTTCAATCTGGTTTGCGATCAAAAGAATTTAATCGATTTGACTGGCACAGCGTTCTACATTGGCAGTTTCATCGGCAATATCGTGTTTGGTCACGTAGCTGATAAGTGAGTTTCTCAAAAATCGCTGAAATTTTTTTGCAATCTGAATTTTTTTATTTTAATTAATTTGTATTTGCCTTAATTACTTCTATTACCAGTTTGTGTCAAAGAAGAAATAGAAATAAGAAAAAATGAGGAAATTTCGGAGAATTATAAAACCAAAGTGATTCGTAATTACAAAAAACATAAGCGAAAGCGAAAAAAAAGCAGAAAACAATAATGATAAATAATAATAATACCAATAATAATAATAATAATGGTAATGGTAACGGTAATAATAATGGTAATAGTAAAAGTAATGAAGTAATGACAATATAATAATGTAATAAAAAAATAAAAAAAATAATAATAATAGTAATACTAGCAATACAATGGAACCAAATAGTGCACTGCAGTTCTCATTTCTGAGCACTGATGCTGGCGTTCTCCAATTAATTGTGTCATTCAAAAATTTGGGTGATGCTGGTGATTTATTTATTGCAAAATGATTTCAAAACAATGAAACAATGACAAAATTTGTCTGGTCCTACAAGCCAGTAGACTAGGCCTTAGAATCAAAAATGACGAGCACTTTTAGAAAAAAATTGTAATTTTATGCAATTAAATCTTAAACCATCATTTATGAAAAAATTATGCAGGAATTACAAATCTTTTTTCTTGACCGAATTTTCACCGAATCAAGTTTTTTACTGGTTTATTTCCTTCAGCCTGCTTTTTCCAAGATGTTTTGGACTAATCATTTTATTGCTTATTTGCATCAAATACAAGAAATCTTTAAAAATTTTAAATAATCGATTAAGAATTTGAAGCAGTTTTTAACCTTATCAAGATCAGACCTGGCTATTTTGAGATTTAAAGGTTGTTTAATGTGGCCTAGCATAATAGCCTTAATAAGCTATAGAGAGAATAAAATTTTGAATACACGACAGAACATCGTGCTCAAACTGTTAAAAAAATTATTTGAAAGTTTTGTTGCTTTTTTATTGATATCATTCTTTATCATCTGAAATATATTTTTTTTAGGTTTGGCCGTCGCGTCTCATTTTTTATAATTTTGCTTACGCTTGTGGTATTCGGTTCGGCCAATGCATTTGCACCAAATATTGAATCATTTATTGCATTACGCTTCTTGACTGGATTACCTTTTCCTGCATTGTTCCAAATACCATTTATTATTAGTAAGAAACACTTCGAATTTAATCCATAATATTTTCTTAAAAAATATTTTCTTAAAAAAATTACGTTGGTTCCTTTATTTTATTTATTTTATTTGTATCAATATATTTGTCTATTCGACCTATAAAGAAAAAATTAAAAAAAAAAGAATTTTCATAAATTTGAATTTGAAATATTGATGGCATACTTATTTTTAGGCATAGAATTTATGGGTGAATCGGGTAGAGTATTCTGCGGACTCATGATTGATGCATTTTTTGGTTTAGCAATGGTACTTTTGGGACTCCTAGCGATGTTTGTTCGTAGATGGCGACTGCTTATTTTTTTATGCAATGCCCCATTCGTCATACTTTTCTCATATTACCTGTAAAATTATTTCTTAAAAAATTATTCCAAAGAAACTTATGACTTTCTGTTGGTATCGATTTTACATATAACGCCTGTCAGCGAAGCTAAGAACCTGTTTCTTCATTTTTTAAAGTTAAACTAAATCGCCCGAAAAGTCGTTTCAGAGGAATCCATAATCTTCTACTATTTTTTTAATAAACCACAAAAGAACCACTTGCATGAATTTTATCAGTTCCATTTAAAATCAGAAGAATCAAAAAATAAATAAATATTTTTTCGAGCATTTTAGTTTCTTACCTGAATCTCCACGATGGTTGGCTTCAGTAGGCAGATTTTCAGAAGCCAAAACTGTACTTTCGAAAATAGCTAAAGCAAATGGCAAGAAAGATGTTGATGTCCATGAATTAATTTTGCAAGTATGTGATTTCACTGCTACAGTCCAAAGAGTTTCTCTTTCGATAAAATTTTTCAACCATTTTGAATTAAAAGATTTTTAATCTTAAAAAAATGTGTGCAAAAATACCTCTATATTTCACAGTATTTTTCCTTTAGATGGAGAGAAACAGATATTCTATTGGTGATACGAAAGAACACACCCTATATGACTTATTCAGAACGCCAAACTTGCGGAAAAAAACACTTATCGTCACATATATCTGGTTATATATTGCTTGCTAAGAAATTAAGCTTGGTGACATGGAACCATTTTTGTAATAAAATTTCATTTAATTGTCATATTTTATTGAATTTGGACACTCATATGATTGCAATTAAGCTACAACTTTGAACAAGGCCTTGTCTGTAATAAATTTTCATTCATTTCAATTTCAGGTTTGTCAATGCTGCAGTATACAATTGCATGACTTTAAATATATCCAATTTGCCTGTTAATGACTACGTATCGTTCATAATAAACGGAGCAGTGGAACTGCCTGCTTATTTCATTATTTGGCCTCTATTAAGTCTGATAGGTCGTAGATGGAGCCTAGCCTCATCTATGTTATTAGCTGGTATAGCCTGCGTCTCAACAATGTTTGCGCCGCCTACTACGAGTAATTTCAATTTGATTTACAAAGTTAATATTGCAAAATTATGGAATATAAGTAATTTATTTTGGCTAAATTTGTATGCTATTCCTTTATCATGAAATGAATTCGGCAATACGATGATTGATTCAATTTTTAGCACTTTACCTCCATTGTTCAGGAGATTCAGGTTTCCATAATTAGTAGGACATTTGAAAAATGCTCGAAAATTTTAAGACGATTGGTTTTTCCATATGTAAAACTTGGCGTTTCAATCATTCTTCATGAAAATTATATATCGGATCAGCTTTAAGTTGCATATAAGAACAACATATACTAAAGGCATAAGCAGCTTTACATTATTTCAAGATATTAGGGTATTGATATCTGATACTTTATTATCTGAAAGGCAATGATGTCGTGCAAATACTTGAAATAATTGCCTGCAACGAGATGACCAAAGGAAATATGGAGGCTTTGAATGTAAAGACGAGGAATGTCCTTATAATGTACAGAAATTTTTATCTCCAACTGTAATATCCAAGGATCATACACCAATTAAAAAGACTGGTGAGGCTTGGTGAAAATCACTGTGTTGGAGACCGAAGTAAATCAGTAATGTGGATGCATCAGTAGGATGACACCAAAGCATAAGCTCTTGAAAGAATGCCTGAAGGATCTACAGGAGTTAGAGAAAAACCAAGCAGATGAAGTGTCATGGCAAAGCAAGGCTCTCCAATGAATGAAAAATTTCATCAGAGTTTGGAAAAAAACTGGATCAATAAACGGCACTGAGCATTGACCATAACAGCTACTGAGCACAAGGTTTATTGAAGCAGGGATCTGCCATATCAGATAGAAATTTAGGTGTAGGCGAGGATGGCAGAATTTAAGTTACATATAAGAGCAACATATACTAAAGGCATAAGCAGTAGCTGGCATTGTCTGCAGAATATCTGCTAGCTATATAGTTTAAGCCCTTACAAAATTAGAGGGAAGATTCGAGAAAAATGTAGAGAATATTGAGACCGAGGTTCTGTGGGTATTCCCTAGATAAAGAAGCGATGGCAAAACAACCAGGTATCTTGGTGATAGATAAAAACCAAAAATCTTCACTTGCGAAAGATATCGCATCAGCAAGTAGTAGGAACATTAGGAAGAAAAAATAAGAGAAACTAAAGAAATAGAAGTGGAAAGAATGGGAAAATGAAGGCCATAGTCCCAGTGGTGATAAGTTATGACTTCCAACAGCTCTCACCATCACTGGTTAAGCTGGTTCCAAGATTAAGATGTTCCAAGCTGCGCGATCTGCTGCTATCGCTGGTAGTAATAGAAGCCATTTCTTTTCCATTGTCTAAGTCAATATATCGCTGATTCTCCTATACCTTCAAAATCTTTCTTGGCTATATCAGTCCAGATTTTGATTGGCCATCACAGGGTTTGGCAAGTAGCGAAATATGCGTCAATTCCTGTGGTGAACAACGTACCCTAACCAGCAAAGGCTACATTCTTTGATAACATTAATACAGGTGATATTTAAGCGACGGTGGATACAATAATATGCGATTTTATCTGCTCGATGAATCTGAACAAACTGTATTTTAGACATGAGTTATCAAAGGCTGATAGCTTCTTAATATCTTCCATATTCGAGTGGATTGTAGCTATGGACACGGATTCTCGCCTTTGTGGTGATTTCGCGACGATTCCATAAAGATTTCATCAACCGTAACATATTTCTGTCTTTTGTCTTAGCTGTCGTTATCAGAGTTACAATCTCATCCTTTGCCATTTAGGATTAGAGCGGATCTAAAATATTTGAAATTGGGCACTTCCTAAACCGGCAATGAATTGACCAAAATAGGTATTTTAATAGCATCTAAGAATATGGAATATGGCGAAAACATTTTCGTTTTATTCATATTGATTTAATTCTCGCTGCAGTTGTTTATATATTGTTTAACACTATTATAATTCATTTCATTATAACTCTCAGTTTCCACAAATATAGATTCTATAGATTTGTGCCAAGGTATGCTGGTAAAATGCCTTTATGAGTCGAATGATCTTCTCTGGAACACCGTCACATTTCATCAGTTTCCAGAGCGGCGCTCTATCAAACGAATCGAAGACAGCTGCAAAATCGATAAAGCAAGTGACGGTGGGTTGCAGATATTTGAAGCAAGCGATTTTCCAGCACTCTTCGTAGCGTAAACATCTGGTCAGCATAATGGCATCCTAATCTGAATCCAGCTTGATTAGGACATATTCTGTTCCCATGTTGCTATTATATGAATTTATTTTAGCAAAAGGAAAATGAAAATTTTTTCGGAGATATCCAGTAGTTTGATTTCTCGGCAATTGTCGCAGTGCGTCCTGTCATCTTTCTTAGTAGAATTGCTTGGCTCCAGTCTTCTGGTATTATTTCCTTTTGCCGTACCAGAGAATATATTTGGAAAAGACCATCTTCTCTGGGAGTTTTATTGGTCTTAAGCTTATGGATTACAGAGATTATTTCCTCTTCTACTGGCTATTTGCAATCGAAAATTTAAAGCTCGAAGAGTGAATCAGTTATATCTGGGACAACAGATGGTAATGTTTGGCCTCAAAAAATTCCTTCCATCTTATGAGATGATCCTTAGAAGCCTTAACAGGCGCCCCATTGTATCATTTTACTGACCCTTTCTCGAATTATAGTCGCTTTGCAAAGAAGGCGAACCAGTTTCCTATTATCCAAATGGCCGTCTCCATTCTCAAGGCTATATAGCTCCAGTAGTGATTTCTGTTCTGCTTTCGTTGTAATTCTTCGAAGCACTCGATAATCAGGATCTCTTGATATTCGGACTTTGGCAGCTTTTTCAGACAGTTGGTTAGTTGCTTACGACACCCAACTAGCGCACTTCCTACTAGTATGCCATAGCGTGGATGTGATTAACTTTCGGAGACATTCTTTAACTTTGGTTTGGATCAGTATTCATTCGTTCCTGAAAAATCATTAATATTTATACCACTGAAATGCTTCAATAATTGGGTTTGAAATGCGATCACTGTCCCCAAATTTTTTAGTTTTAAATAGCTGAAGGGAAATGCTGTTTTTTACGAGTCGTCAATTTTATGCAGATCTTAGCTGGAACCATAATATGGTCAGATCCATGAAGACTACCTGTTTCAGCGCCATGATATGAACAACTATCTAGTACGGAACTTTTCCAAAGGCGACTGACTAAATATAATCAATCTGATTGGTCTGTTGGTTATCCGAGGAGTCCATGTGGTTAAATGTCTTCTGCAGTCCCAGTAGCATTTTTAGTAACGAAAAGTCCACCTTTTTCAACAAAAGAAAGCCTTCTTCATTACCGTACCGCACTCCAATGCCAAATTTACCAATTATTCAGTTCATCTTTCGGCATAAAACCCACACGACCATTCCACTCTCCTCTGACTATAACCACTTTGCCATAATATTAACAGTTGAAATAGAACTTATCCTTACCGTCATAAGCCATAAGCCATAGGCCATATGGCACTCAATGAAAGCCCATAAGCCATAGGCCATATGGCACTCAATGAAAGCGGTCTTTTTCAGACATAACACTTGCTGCGCCATTTCGCTCCCAGTTATCCCAAACACTTCAATGATGTTGCCAATACATCTGACCGGGCAACTACACAAGACCCGACAAACATGGATCTCCGAAAAACAGGCGAGACATCCACACGATATCAAGAAAGAGCATGAACGGTGATCGCTTGCAACATCCATAAGCGTTCTGACGTTTCACGCTGCCACGGCTTCGCTGTGCATGCAGAGAACCTTGATTGGTTTCGAGCAATTATCGTGGCTTGCAAGCATATCACATTTTCAACTCTTGGGGTCTTACTATATCCGGATTGCATACTTATCGTAAGGGCTGAAAGAAACATGCGTTTTGGAGGAAGCCGACGTATGTCAAAGTTAAAAGGATAAAGAGGATATTTAGCCCTTTCATCATAGAGCTTGGGTAGAATTACTGATGAATCCCCACCAGCCATCAGGGTTTTTCATACCATAGAAATTTATTCTTATCAAACTGAATGAAACGGAAAATAAAATTAGTACAGAAAAATAAAATAGAATAGAAAATATAAAGAAAAAATAAGTTAAAAAAAAACTTCTCTTAAAAAAACTAAATTAACTATCACTTCTAAATTAGGAAAATTGCTCCAACCGATTCTAGGACCAAAATCAGAGATCTCTGCCCAGAAAAACGCTAAAGCTAAGATATTGTGCAGAACCCTTAAGTTCTCTGGTAGAGGCTGAAGGTGATTCACAGCACCCACAGGAATGAGAAAAAGTCTTTTATATTCTTTTTAATGTTTGATGAATCTTCCAGTATGACCAATATTTTCAAAAATTCTTTATCTTTCTATAGTATATATAAATTATCAAAAATTAAAAATTAAAATAAAAAATTAAATTAAATTTTTTAAATTAAATAAATTTAAAAAAATTACAGAAATTTAATCCAGAGATTTAAAAATTTCCAAACGCTAATAAGAGTAAAAGAGGATATGAAATAATTTTTCATATTGATTCCATATTACAGAACATCCTTGGGTCGTCGCAGGTTTGGCTTATACCGGCAAATTCGGCATAGCTGCTAGTTTTGCTGTGATTTATATATTTGCGGGTGAGTTGTATCCTACAGTCGTCCGTGCAATTGGAATGGGAATGAGCTCAATGGTCGCTGGTCTGGGTTTGATTCTTGCGCCTCATGTCGTCAGACTTGTAAGTTTTTTAAACTTTTAGACTTTTAATAATTTAGACTTTTAATAATGATAGGGCAGATTTCGTATCATAATTTTTCATCAATTTACTTAATGTATTTCTAATACATATTTGCAAGAATCTGTAAATTTCTTGAATTTTCTGAACATTCATTTGCTTTTTCTCAAATTTTGAGAAAAATGTTTTTGCGTTCTGCCAAGAAACTTAGATAAACTTAGATAATTCTAGGATTTATTTCTTTCGATATAATATCGCGGATCACTTATGATTCCTTAATTCATAAAGTTTTTAATTTGTTTCATGAGTCTCATTACTTAAAGAACAGACAGCCACCTTTTGAAAACAAAAATTATAGGGCGATACACTTAAAATTCTTCCATTAATAATCATGGGAATGGCTTCTGTTTCTGCTGGGTTTACTTCATTACTGCTTCCTGAAACATATGGAGCATCCTTACCGCAAACTTTGCAACAGGCTGAAGATTTTGGCAAAAATGAGAGAATATTCTTTGCCGGTATGCATTTTTACGACCAAATCATCATTAGTTTTTTTAAAGATTAATTTTTTCTCTTGCTTCATTTGCCACAAATTTCTATGGCTTATATGCGACTTTTTGCCACACCAATTTAAATCAATTAGTGAATTTAATCAATCAATGACGCTTGGGGAAACAGACGCTTAAAATCGAGCCTCCATATATTATAAGAAATACCTCTATCCTTTCCTTTTCTACCACCTATAATTTAATCATTTATTATGATATAATGCGGTAAAACTAAAATAGCAAAAGCCCTATTTATTATAAACAATGAACTCAGTGGTTCCATTATTTTAACTTTTATCCTCTATGGTCCATACATTAATATTTAAATCAATGATTGTTTTCAATAATATCAATAAAATTTAAAAATAGAATCAGCGATATTTCAAATTTTCTACGATACATAAATGCTTAAATCAATATAGGACGTCGACGACGGGGACACAGCACTGCAACAGTACCACATTCTAGGCGTAGTTCAGATGAAAAGGGCGAAACTAAAGAAATGTGTGCACTAATTGGCAACGATGAAACAGATGTTAATTCTGTTCATATCTAACTTTTTTTTTAACTATGTCTTCATTAATGGATGTTTGCTCATGTACTTCATATTACTTGTTCCATTAAAATTTCGGTGGCATTGTCTCCTTAGAAAACTAATACCTTTCGTCGGCAAATAAACTTATAAACTTAAAATTATTTCTACCGGATAAAACTCATATTCATAACAACTTTTCACAGTATTTCCTTGGTAAAGAAAGATGCTTTTATTGCCGTTCTCATCCACTGAAAAGAAAAGGCCATGAATTCAATTAAGTTACATAGCTTTTACTAAACTTGATGTTTTCAGTTTTATAATTTTAAAAAAGTTTTTTTGTAAAACGAAAATTTTAAAAAAGCATCAATGGTATATAAGTATAAGTCTAAACGGTCAGCACTCACACCCACCTTTTCTATTTAGCTTCGCAGGCTACCAGCAAGGTTTCAAATTTTCCATTCGGAAGTAGTAAAGGTAGGTAGTATAGGCATCATGTTTTGAATAAGTGGAGGGCAAGAAAGGAATCTTTGTTCAATATTATGGTCTAAGCCACCACCCATATCTTGCTCTATAATATGCAACTTTCTTAGAACATCATTGCAAAATATTACTGGAAAAATCTAGTTTCCCAAAGTTTCTTAGTTTCTTAGCAGAGAAACTATGAAACAATTTTTGATGTGATGATTGTCCCAAATTAAAACTTATATATTTTATATAAACTTTTGTTATTTGATTTGATTGGGTGCATCCGTAATAAAATTGAAAGTAAGATACTATATATTTAGGTATGCAAATTTTTGTTACTTCAAATTTAATCTAGGAAAATAGGAATAAATATTTTTGGTAAAATTTCAAATAGATGCTAAGAAAGGCGATTTAAAAATATGCCACAAAAAGCTATTAAATAAATAAATACAAGGATGATGATATTGTTAAAAGAGCGATAGCAATATAATGACGATCTCCTTATCATTTAAATGTTTTGCAAAATGATCAGAACAATTTATGGAAAAATTAAGCAAGAACACTGATATTTATGCGAAGGGAGGAAGCATAGCACCACATATGACAAATGTAGAAAGGCAAAAAAATGAATATATAGATGGATATTTAAAAAAGTAAATGAGACTTTTTTTTCAATAGCAAAAAAATTTTCGATTTTCTTCATACAATTTAATAAAATTCAAAAGTGAAATGCAGTAGATTTTTTATTTCTTTTTTAAGCAGAAAACTGGGCGACAAATTTAAAAGAATTTTTAATATGAAAAAACCGTGATAATAATGATGATAAATTTACGTTACTTCAACAATAAGTTATTAAATTGTATTTATAATTGTATTTTTCAGCAATATTTTTTCAGCAATATTTCAGCAATATTTTTAAATTTTCATTGCTTCTTTCTCCAATAATTTCAATATTCCTGCTATGATAAACGTATATTTTTAATTTTCTTTCTTCTACGATTCTAGCCAATTTTATTTGAAGTATTTTAAAATCGATATTGGTTTGCATTTATATATTTGCATTTGCTGATTATAATAAATTATATGAACAGGTAATTGCCCACAAGGCCTCATTTACGACCTAATTATTAATTAATGTTAATTAATGTTGATTATTAATTATAAATATTCGAAATGAAGAGGAAATCATTAAATCTAGATAGATGCATTGTTGGCAGGATAGCGGAGTAGACGATGGCTCAGAATGATATGAACACAAGGGAAAAAAGCAAGTTCCGGATGATCCAATTATATTTCTACGGCTAAGTGACTGCTTGGCAAGAATTTATAAGCAAAATAATAGCTAGCAGAAGCGAATTAAAAATAGAACCCTTTGTTTAGCTAGATACAATAAATTTTGCGGCAATTTTTTTGTTACTTTCTAGGAAAAATGGAATGAGGCTCCTAGTTAAAATCGTTTTAAAATTATAAAAGTAATTCCATTTACATTTTGTTGATCATTTTATTCATATAGAATGCCTAATATAACATTATAACATTATGCGCTCATAAAGTTTGCGCAATCATTATTAATAGAATGTGACAATTTTACAACAGAGAATTATTTATGTCTAAATTGGAACAGTGATCTGGTGGATCTTCAGAATCATCCAGACCTTCCTAAGAAACAACTAGCCAGAGGCAATTGTTTGGCATATAATTTAAGCAATAGGCATTTGGCTACACTACCAATCAATAATGACATTTGAGATGAAGCGATTTGTTTATCTTATCCTTAAAAAGTCATTTAAGGTTCCTAGATTCAGCCCGATTATAATGACAGGCTTACTTCCATCAAAAGGCTGGAGTAAGGTCTGTAATAACTTGTCCTTATTCATTACCATTACCATTCACTTAGCTGCTATCCAATTTTTTTTCTGAAATTGCCTAAAATGAATAGACTTTGAATATAAAATTAATATTTGCAAAAATTTATCGAAAATTATTTTCATTTTTTTTTTGAAATAACAATGCTTTTGCATTGATGGCATTATTAAAGGGAAAAAAAATGATTAAAGTCATATCAAATTCTAACTGCCATTATCAATGATACAACAGCCATTAAAATGAAACTCTCCAATCGATTACACTTTCCTTTTAATGAATATTTTTTTTAAATTTCTTAAATTTCTTTCATTTCTGTTTTTGGCTGTTTTGTTTAATGGGTGAAAAAACCTTTCAAATTTCAGGATTTTCGATGAGATCTTCTTTTCAAATTTTTTTCCTCAAAAAATTGTTATTTGGCTAAATTTTTAAATAAATTCTGTTGCTATTGCTTAGCCCAGTTTTATTCCCCCGGCGAAGAGAACTCATTAATATAACCAGTTGGAACCAAGTAGGATGAATCATCAATAAATGCAAAAAAACCATAATAAAACCAATTAAAAATTAAATTTAATCGAGAAAATTACTAAAATTATGGAAGTTTTTATTTTCGAATTCAGAGTTATTTGCAATATGGTTTTTTTCTTGCAACATTAGGTGATTGTGAAAATATTTAGGTTGATTTTTCAAGCTAATAGGGTTCAGCATAAGTGCTGGAATTTTTCAAGCTGGAAGTGTAAACGTTGGCATCTGCAACATTTACATATATCGCCAAATGACTTCTTGGCAAGAAATTTCTTAACAGTTGTAACAATCGGCGAATTACAAATGAAGAGCTACATATTTTTTAAATTTATTTTGAACCTTCATGAACCAAGATTTCAAGAATAAATTTGTTATACTTCATTGAAATAAAACTTTTTTGTAGATTTTTTGAAAACTGAAAGCATTAACTTTTGAAGCAATCCAGCTTATGTTTTGATATAAAGTATGAATGGGTAGTGGTTCAGATTGTTATGTGTAGAGGCATTATCCTTCCACTTTCTGTTCTTGATAAACTTGCTATTAAAAAGGCCAAGTGGTACTGATAACCCATGTATAGTTCCATCAACAAGTGATTTTCTAATTTAAATTTCTAACCATACTAACCTACGTAGTTAACCAGAAATGATGAGCGTTAACCATTTACCATGATAATTCTTTATTTATTATTTATTATCATATATTTTCTTCGAATGAATTCCATAGTTTTCTTTGTTTGGTGGCCGATCACGATTAATAACGCTAGTACCAACCATTTGTTGGTGTTTCCGATGATGGTGTTTTCGTAATCTATAAAAAAAAATAATTCTTATAAAATAATTCTTTTGAAAAGCACTGCTTTTTTATTTTCAAAATATGAAACTTCTGAACGGTTTTAATCAACCATACTATGCCTTTTGTCAACAGCGGAATTTTTATAACTATTTTATTGCACCAAAAAGACATGGTTATTGATAGTCAAGCTAAAAAACTAAGTAGGCTGGGTAAATTAAGACTTATTAAGACGTTTTGTATTTCATTCAAAAATACGGATTACGAAATCGATTAATACAATTTTTTTCTTTGCGATATTTTGTAGAAAAGTAGAATAGCAAAATATTTTAATAAGATTATCGCCTTGTGCGTTAAGAGTTCCACTTTTGCATTCAACAGAAGCAAACCTGCCATTAAGGAAATTCGGTTGCTGGCAATCTAATAATTCCATTGCCAATAACCCTCTGGCAAAAATTCTAATCGCACTAAGAGCGGATTTAAGAGCGAAATGGCAATAACTCTTACTTTATTCTGCGCGTTTTTTCTGATTAAATTTTCCAACAATTTTTTCTATTAATCAATTTGCGAACGTTAGCAATTTATTTTTCCTTGCTTCCCTCTTTTGATGCTCATTATTTGTCAAATGATTTTTGTGCATTAATTTTTGATGACATCTTTTTAATAGAAATTCGTTCTTTGAATAAAATGTAAATATCAGTCAGCTCAAAAACAGATGTACGACTCAAAAGCAAAGACAAATATTTCACGCATTATTTTTTTTCAAATATTTTTTCTTTCCTTTTATTTCATTAACTATGCGATGACGAGCCCAAAAGCCAAGTAATTTCTGCCTAATTTTTCAACATTTTTCTTCTAAACATTTGCACTTTACCTAATTACTTATTTGCTAGCGTTTTGTAAGAAAAATACTTTTTTTGACGATCAATGGTTTGGATCTTGTCTTCAACAAACCAGCAACACACCTGTGCTTCCACCATTGAATGACTCTGGCAATGATTCAATTTATAATCATATTAAGACCACAGCTAAAGAAACGAGTTTAACCAGATATATTCAGTGCTAAGAGCCTATTTCTTGCTTAGAATATATGTGGAAAATGTCGATTTATTTTATTACATTTCACTTTTCTTCTTTTCAGGTTTTTTTGCTCAGTTTCCTTTAACATTTCCTTTATTATTCATATACATTATTTTTCTCCAGAAAAAACAATAGTTGGTTATTTTTTAAGTGATATTTCATTTATATCCGAAAAGTTCAAATGAGATTCCTGAAACAAGATTCACATTCAATTTTTGTTAATTCGTGACACCTTTGACCGCCAGTAATTATAGTCTAGGGCAAAAAATTCTGTCTTATACTATATTTTATACTTTTTC